ATACCCCCTCGTACTCTACTTTCCATACCAAAGTCAAGAACAAAATGGGAATAGATTAATGCAGGGGTAGGCAACCTTTCCCCTTTAAGGGACGAGGGACTTCAGCTCCCAGAATCCCAGGAGCTATTGGCCAACATGGCTGAGGCTTCTGGGAGCTGAAGTCCCTCGGCCCTTAAAGGGGAAAGGTTGCTTATCCCTGGATTAATGGGTGGTATTTTAATGGTAAACCATGACAGTACACAGAAAACATCAAATGAAGAGCAGGCTTAGACTTAAAGGAAGGAGTGAAGATAGGAAGAAGGAACATCAACAATCTAAGATGTGGATGACATATTATTAGCAGAAAACATCATGTACTTGGAACAATTACTAAGGAAGGTCAAAGATGAAAGTGTAAAGACAGGTTTGCTGCTGAACATAAAGAGACAAAAAATAATGACCATAGAAGAACTCAATACATTCAACGTAGGCAATGAGGAAATTGAAATTGTTAAAAGATTTCTTGCACCTCAGATCAAACATTGATCAGAATGGAGACTGTGTCAAGAGATAAGAAGGCTTGGAATGGGAAGGGCAGCGATGAAAAAATTAGACAGGTCTTAAAGAGCAAAGATATACAGTTGAGCACTAAAGTTAGACTCATCTGAGCCATCGTATTACCCATCACTATGTACAGATGTGAGGGCTGGACAGTGAAGAAAGTGGATAAAAAGAAAATCAACTCAACTGAGATGTAGTGCTGGGGAAGAGTGCTGAATGGAAGACAGGGGGTCTCGGAGATGCCTCATCCACAGGATTGCCATGAGTCGAGGTCAACTTGCACACAGTCAACAACGTGAAAGTCCTTCAGTCTGGTGGACGGGTGTCTTTCAGTTCTAACCACAAGAACTGTTAGTAAACACAGCCATATCAAACAATTTAAACAACATACTTAATGGCTAGAAATAATGTTCTAGATATGTTTTGAACTGTTTTCAATCATGTATTTAAAAATAATTTTTTTTTAACTTTTGTAAACTAATGCTTTAGCTCAGACCTGCACAACCTGGCAGCAGGAACATCCACAGATAGGTTGAATTATTATTATTATTATTATTATTATTATTATTATTATTATTATTATTATTATTATTTCCATCCTCCTCCTCCACTGCCCTGCTCTTTCTTGGGATAAGGCGAAGTGGTGGTGAAGCCTTAAGCAGGGTGACCAAATGTCATAACCAGAATGGAGGACAAGGCACCACAAAATGTAGAACATTCAAGGAAAATGTAGGACATTACAAAATAAAAAGCTAAAAGTAAAAGTAAAGGTAAAGGTATTCCCCATTGACAAAGTTGTTGTGTCCAACCATAGGAGATGGTGCTCATCTCCGTTACTAAGCCAAAGAGCCAATGTTGTCAGAGACTACTTTGTGATCATATGGCCAGCATGATTGCACAGAATGCTGTTTACCTTCCCACCGAAGTGGTACCTATTTATCTACTGCCATTTGCATGCTTTTGAACTGCTAGGCTGGCAGAAGCTGGAACTAGTCATGGGAGCTCACTCCCATGCAGCACCCAGGCCTGCCAACCTCCCGATCTTGCAATCAAGAGTCAGCGTCTTAACAACTTGAGCCACTGCTTCCCTAAAAACTAAAAACAGTAATATAAATTCACAAATATAAATGCACAAAAAGCCTCCTGATGCCCAGGAGGCAGTGGGGCATAGTGGTTTGAGTGTTGGACCAGGGCTCTGGAGACCAGGGTTTGATTCCCTGCTCTGCAATGAAACCCACTAGGTGGCCTTGGGCAAGTCACATGCTCTCAACCCCAAGGGAAGGCAATGGCAAATCTCTGAACAAATCTTGCCAAGAAAACCCCATGATGACTTCGCCTTAGGGTCTCCATAAGTCAGAAACAACTTGTAGCCACACAATGAAACAACAAAGCCACGAGAAAAAGTCAGTGTGGTGTAGTGGTTTGAATTTGGACTATGACCCTGGAGAACAGGGTTTAAATCCCTGCTAGGCCACAGAAACCCACTGAGTGATTTTAGGCAAGTCACATTCTCTCAGCTTCAGAGGGGGCAAGGGCAAATGCACTTCTGAACATGTCTTGTCAAGAAAACCCTGTAATAGGGTTGCTTCAGGGTTGCTATAAGTCAGAAACAACTTGAAGGTTCAAAACAATGACAACGAAGCCCCATTAGGAAAGCCAGGGTGGTGTAAAGGTTTAAAGTTGAAGACTAGGGTTTGAATCCTCTCTCGGTCCACTGGCTGACCTTGGGCAAGTCACACTCTCTCAGCTTCAAAGGAAGACAAAGGCAAACCCACTCTGAACAAATACCCAGGATAGGGTGGCCATAAGTGGGAAATAATGTGGAAGGGACATAAAAAACCTCTTCTGCTGCTGTTTCCTTTTGCCTGGGCTGCCCAAGGCTTCTGTGGTAGCAGCAGCACAGGCAGAGGGAAGCAAAGCAGGATTCTCCACATCCCTGCGGGCCACACAAAATCCTTTGGCGGGTTGCATGTGGCCTTCAGGCCGTATGTTGGTGCCACCATCAAAAGCTGCGATGGTGCAGTGCTTAAATGCCAGTACTGCAGTCAGTATTGCAGCCACAAGGTTGTGAGTTCGATCCCAGGGCTCCAGGGTTGACTCAGCCTTCCATCCTTCTGCAGGTCACTAAAATGAGTAACCAGCTTGTTGGAGGCAATTAGCTTCCAGATTCCCAACCGCTTAGAGACTGATGACTGCTGTACAAAGCAGTATAGAATTGTAAATACTAATGCTAAATGTTGCGCAGGCCTGCTTTAGCTTAAATCTTTAAAAAAAGAATTGTGAAGCTGCTTTGAATCCCATTTTGGGAGAGAGGTGGGTTATGAATTAAATAAATAAATACATTATAGAATAAATCATGATAAGTATGTGTTACAGGCAAAAGATCTTCTAGACTTGAAACTTCAGAACATTTTTATGTAAATAGGTAAAATGCTTCAGTTCGCAAAAACCTTCCATGATTTAGTCTGTTGCCTTGACTGAAATGGCTAACCTTTTTAAAAAAATGACTCTTCACCTAAAACCATCTTAAATCCATCCATGTTCCACAGAATCAGGTAAAAGTATAAAGGCAGAAGAAAGACATGCACATTTGTATTTAAAAGATTTTATTTTTTTATTTCACAAAATAAAAGAAAATGCAACAGTGTTTGCAATACACATGCCCTTCAATCAGTGCTGGTTATATATACCATTTTTTCGAAGTATAAGAAAATAGGCTTCATTTCTTTACAAACTGAGGAAAACCACAAATTTGCATAATATGTGTATACATGTATGACACACACATGTCCTTTTCTGCAAGGCAAATATTGTACAACTTGGAGTGCTACTGTTTTTGATGTGATTGTACCTTGTACTTTCTTTCTCTAAGGTACTGAACACAAAGATATAATTCCTTTTCATATTCATATAGTATTTAAATTAAAAATTATTTTGATGTTATCATTATTCAAGATATCTTCTTGTTATGAAAAGAACTAAAAACTTCTTAATAGACCTGATACCAACTTCACCATACCATTCCATTTTTTAATATATAACTATTTTAGATTTTTACAATAATTTTCTACAAACTGCCATGACTAACTTTTAAAAGATGTCAGATTGTTGCTTTGATGAAAGGGATGCAAACGGGTGTAAATATCTGCATTTCTACAACAAACAAGATTAAGAAATATAGCAATTCTAGGGTGGTTAAATCCTTGAAAACTATGATCTGAGAATTTAGTATGGCAAAGCAAAAAAAATTAAGTGGAAAAACACTTTAAAGTTTAAACATTACTCTAAAGAGATAAAACACTGTAAACATTTCATAGGATGGCAATGTACTAGAAGGAATCAGGCATAATTCCCAAAGTACACTCATACCATTCTTTTAAATATGTGCAGAACAGACTTTTTTAAATGCATCTAAATGAAGTCAGCTTTTGAAATGGAAAATAAGGAATAATATCTAATTGCTCACACAGAGGTCTCAATTTGTGAGATACATACAAAAATGTACAGTAATATTTTTTAAAAAAAATTAAAAGTTGAGTGCACTGAAAGATAACATCTTCCAGAAGAAAGCCAGACTATCAGAAGAGGGACTGCTCTAACACAGAACAGGTGAAATGCACATGTAAGTGCAAATCCATTCAGTGGTGGCTATCCTGTAGCATGCACCTTGTAAAAGGAGAAAAAGGGCCACATTCCATAAGAGTTTTATCCTTACAATGCACATCTGACTCCACATATAGCAATATATGAAACAGAGAACTTGTTAAAGCAGTGAGATCCATTACAGCAATATCACCCCTGCACTACCACCTTCCAGATTTTATTATACTTAAAATATAAGTAGGCAGGAGGTTTGTGGGGGGGGGGGGAAACACAAATTAACATAGCCATGGTATGCTTTGTATGCACTGCTAGTCCTGTATGCTTTGAAAGGGAGTATGCACCATACTTGGGCTATTATGTATGTGCATATGTTTATAGAACTGTAAACACCACATGGAAGAGAAAGATGGACTGTTATACACAAACACACATGGACTGTGTCTCAAGGCACATATAAAAACAGCTTTAATGTTGTTGTTCTTTAAACACTGGATGCATTTTAGCTTACCATGTGACTTATACACAGTATGCTGCACACATTGAGCAAGCTCCCATTTTCCCCTCCCATTTTCTAGAAACCAGAATGAGAAGTTGTACTAAAATGAACTTTGACTCCTGCCTTGTTGG